TGTAGGTAAACTAATTGATAACTAAGTTGAGCACGAAGCTCCTATACTAAGAAACTATTCTAACTATATACTCATCATTTCCTTAAGTGCTAGCATAGCTAGCATATCACGTGATCTCCTATTGGCCTCAGGACACTAATCCTGGGACAATTCGTCTCCTGGGACAATATAACTCCTAGGATAATTGTCCTGGGACAAATATTATCCTAGGACGTTTATCCTAGAACGAATAATGTCCTAGGACACTTGTCCTAAGCCATCACGGTTGCCTAAATGGTTTGTCCTAGGATGATTATTATCCTGGGACACATTTTATCCTAGGACACTTGTCCTAGGATTCCTTATCGATAAGGACCCCCTCGGCAACAGCGGCCCAAACCGCCGTACTTGCTTTTATTGTGTTATAATAATCGTGATTCGTGACATATACTTCTTGATTTATATCTTCTCTTATACCACCATCCAATACAAATCCAGTCAGTCATATATTATCAATCATCACGAATTCTATCACTCACTACTAATTAATTAATAAAACAGCTGATATTTCGATACGCCTACCTGCCAAGCTAGCTAGAGAGATACCCGATCACGTGCCAAGTATTGATTGATTGATTGATTAAATTAACGTCTACACTGAGTCTATGACTATCTAAGACGGCTAGGAGCTTTGTAGGCTTCTAACAATAATAAATGGAGGGTGACTGGCCTTATTCGACCGTAGCTAATACAGGTTGGGGAGATTGAAAGCCTCAATCTTCTAATGTTTGAATAGGGGAAGTGAAAACTAATACTAGGGAACCAAGCCTGCCTTGCAGATACTCTCGTATTCAAATAAGAGGAATAACAAATGAAATGTAATGAGATTTGACATTGGGGTGATTGCCCAAATTGACCAAATTGACCAGAATTGATCAATTCAATCACAAACTTCCGGTCCACCCCCTTCTTCTCCGCTTTCTCCCTTTTCTTCTTCATGCTTTCTATTGAGATGCTATGATCTGATGGCTATTCTCGTCGCCTCGATAAATTCGAGGGTCTTGATGATTTCTGCTTTAGTATGAAGCAGATATTTCATGATAGATCGGACTATAGGGTTATTTTTATTGAGGGTTTTTTTTATTGTTTTGTATATAGGACAATTGAGTAGAAGATGATCAGGAGATTCCTTTCCTCTATATCTACAATTTTCATTAGAGAAGATTCCGAATCGTTTCAAATAAGATTTGAAGTATCTGTATCCAATTTTGAATTGGAACAAAGTACAGATTGTGCTTCTTTTGATGTTTCCTGGAATTTTGATTTTTGAGCTGATCTTCTAGAGGTAGTTTCTTGAATATGTTGACGATGATTAATGAAAATTATTAGTGTTAAGGATAGTTATCTAGTTCTCTGATTTTATTCTTTTTATATTTATTTCAATAAAGATATAACTGGTTTCGTAAGATGAAGATAGTATTTTGATCGCCTCTTTTGCAAGAGAATCAGCTAGCTCATTTCCTTGTACAGATATATATCTGGAGACCCAATTGAAAGAGATTTCGGCTTCTTTATTTTGAATAGCTTCTGCAGCTTTTATAGCTTTGATTTGGTATGGTTGATTAGGTAAATCGGAGGGGGTTTTCAATCGGAATAATCCTGCTTGATTATTTGAGTATATTCGAAGGATTATTTGGGAGGAGTTGAGAGAAGCTGGAGTGAGCAATAGATCTGGTTGAGGAGAAGTCTTTCTCAGGATTCGTGAGGATCCAGGGTTCTTGAATGACTATGAGATCAATTTTGAGTTCTAAAGCAAGTTGGAGAGCACTTTCGGTTGCTTGAGGGCTCTTGTTTAGATTGATTTGACACGTGCCAAGTATCTCTCTCCTTGATTTAAGATCTAAGTAGAACTTGTCGTACCCAGTTAATCACAGCTAATCAACCGCAATCTATGCCTTTCCAATCCCTTCTGATCTATATATTTCTTCACATCGAGATATATTCTACTATATATGGCCTACCATAGCTGCTAAACTCATCCATTCTCTTAAATATGTTCGCGGTTGAACTCTTTGCCGCGTCTGTATTTTCTTATTCTTCGATCAACAACTCATCAACCAAATAAATAGATAAATACATAAATATATGCCAATTCTCATCAAATCTCCTCTCAGAGCAGTCATTTAGCAACAATATGATCGTAAACTTGACCGCAGGCAGATCTTCTAACTTGAGCTCGGGCGAAATCACTCCCGAACTCGCTAATTTCCAGCCAGAGCAGAGAGCACAGAACCACAAGCGCATAGAAATGAGTCTCCATCTGTATGGGACTCCACTGCGCAATTAATATTTTGCTAAACGGTTTAGACAACACAATGCCTGCCGATATTCAAAATTCCGCGGAGATTTATGGCGATATCTCACAGCTAGCCATGGCTTCGATGCGCTTAGGCTTTCCATTTGGAAGCTAGCGTTGCGACTATATATCTTGAACTTGTAAGTCAGAAAATATAAATTGATCACAGCTAGTCGTAAAAAAACAAAAATACTTTCTAACTGCTCCCTCTAGTGGAAAACCCATACGAATGTTCAATATTAAGTAGCTGCATCTCGCAGGTATTACAGTCTTCTCTATCGGAAGTACTATTAGCGGCTACTATGAATTCTCTTATCATAGATCAAGTGATTGCTAGCACTGATAGAGCAGGATTATATCTTGAAACTTTGAGTATCATCGCCATGGACATCTTAGAGCGAGAGAAAGCAGCGTATATTTGCGGCATTGAGGTCGTCTAATCCTGGAAGTAGCAACGATTTGGGGATCAGTCATTGGAGTGCATTTGCTGATTCTAGTGCTAATCTTACCTAGAAACGAGTGGGTGATTTGACTTTTCCGATTCCGACTTCGGATGCCAATTCCGGGTGTAGGTATTTCACATAAACCTCATTATTTTTGGGATGTCTGTACTTAAGATCTCGCTTGAATATTTGGAGGTTGAGAAGTTCTAATGCCGCGCTTTGGAAAGTCCAAATGCGGCTGAGGCTGAATACTCCGAGACACGCGGTACCAACATGTAACCTTTGTTTCTTTTTCTTATAACCACTTCCTCTTGCAACTTATAAGAACATTCTCTTATTATCAAAGACGCCGTATCATGCGACCTGTCGGAGTAGCCTACTGCCACCGTCGTACCGAGATGTGTGCTTTGAAAGCTTAGTTTCCTTGGAAATAGATTCATTTTTCCGGAGCTCGAGATTTCACAACTATTCATCCGGAAAGTTGGGGGAGTTATTAATCTTGTCGTATTACTGCTTTAAATCTTGTTCAATATGCACTGCTACCATTTTTGTACTTATGTCATGACGCGCTTATTGGCCCATTGAATACTAGTCCTGAAAAGAATCTTGCTCATATGCTTTTATAACCCCTGCTAGATATCAAGCTATAGATTCAGGGTTGAATTTTGGAATGAGTTCGTGCTGGAAATAGCTCAACGTGTATATGTCTGTGCACATGCTCATGCTATTAGAACCCGACATTTCAAGGCATCTATGGCGTGCCATTGGATTGCTTTATGGACGGGTCAGTTCCCGAAGGACTCACGCAGCTCCAGCTAGACCAGAACAAATAGCATATGAGAAATTGCAAATAGCCAAGCCTATGACAAGAATGCAGATAGATGGTTCGGGAATTCGGAATGACATAGTGACGTGGAGGCTTATTATACCATCGATTTCTTGGTGGCCTACGATAGATTGGTTGGCTTGGCTAGTGTAATACCGAGAATGATAATGCTGATATGGGCGTTTCCTAATTAACCGCCCGAGAATATGATGAAGAGGTTGCACCGCCTAATTTAGGGGGGACGAAGTAGTGGGTGCACGGACTCCCGCATTACCGAAGTTTAAGAAGATCTGGATAGTGTCCAGTTGATTGTGCAAAATTCTTGAATGTGACAAAAAAAGGTACTAGGTTTGAAAGCGGAGAGGGAGATATTTTCAAAGTGCCATCACAGTTTTAAGGCACTCCAAAGTCGAGGCCTAATGTGGGTATCATCAACTCCAAGCCACTTTTTGCCAACCTAACCTTTGTAATTGACTTGTGCTCAGCTGAAAATGTATACGCCACCGCTACTGCAGTGAAATTCGGCGATTTTACAATCAGCACTTGTTACTTGTTTTGGCCTCGCTACTCATGTGACAGAGGCAGGAGCCAAGGACCATAGTATATAGTAGCTACTATATGTAGGCTCGGATCTTTGACTTTCGGTACTGCCTAGAGCCAATTTGAACTTAAACGTTCCTTTGAGTTCTCGTATCAAAGGTCGCCAAGCATTCGTCAGGGAAACCAAAGCCCGAACAATAAACATATTGCACTTATTTTTGCTTCCTACGTTGAAAATGGCAACTACCATAGTTGAGACAGGAACATCAAAGCAGGAACTCTACCTGTTTAGTAGGAGAGACGAGGAAGAGAAGGACAGGTTAGACCTCGAGGTATATCGGCGCATGCTTTGTATACTGATTTTTGGTAGGCTGGAACGACAGAGCAATAGCATCAAAGTTATCAGGGAGGGACATACCTTGGACCCAAGAATCCCAAAGCAAAATATTTCCAGGATAGCGGATATTGCCACGGGTACCGGGTACGTTTTCCCCAACTTTTTAACATGTTATAATACAACGTTGATTCCAATTCAGCATTTGGTTGAGAGAAGTGGCAGCTGAGCTTGCAGACGCGGGGTACAACTCTCCTCTGGAGATGGTAGGGCTTGACATAAGTGCGGCACAATTTCCCAAGAGTCCTGCTCCAGGAAACAAATTTGTCCTATGGGATATGACCACTAGCTTTCCCAAAGAATACCACTGTAGGTTTGACGTCGTGCATGTACGACTCGTTGTCCTCGCAATAAAAATCGAACAGATCAAAGGAGTTGTGCAAAATCTTGTGGAGTTGCTCAGTAAGAATTGAAATTCTCCTGTCTCCAGACTCGCCTTAGAAGAGTAGCTAATAACTAGAACAGAGCCCGGTGGATATCTTCAATGGACCGACAATTCATACAGAAATGGACGAAAGATAATATATCCGGATGATGATGATGACCCCTCATGGAGATCGCAAGTAGACATGATGTTCAAGTACTGGGGCGACGAAGGATTTTCTCTAGATACAACTGGAGATGTAGAGAAAGCCCTTCAAGGTTTGCCTGTGGAAGACGTGCACGTCACTGACCACACCGATGCATGTTTTCGAAGGCCGGAGATCAATGATGTGGTGGTAGAGTGGCAATCGCGTGCCAAGCCACTAATCATAGAAATGCTGTCATCCAGGAATGGATTTAACGAGGGGGAGGCAAAGATGGCAGCGTATGAATTGCGGAAGAAGATCTTGGAGAAGGGAAAACGAGGTGTGATATTCACGGCGCCAATGGCGACTCTGGTTGCTCGCAGAAACATAGAGCTTTAAGACGATCAAACATGAGCTCAACGGTCAGCACTAGAAATTCAATGCTGAAGAAATGCAAAGTGATTAACGAAAGATTAGCAGCTATTCGTGAAGAAGTCTTTCTTTCGTGAATGAATAGATATCCCGGTTCTTACGTGCATCATTGTCTCTATAAAATCTGCAAAATACTGGCACACCCTGTTTTAAGGATGAGAAAGATCCTTCTCATTGACGCCTCGTGGTTAGTGATTTTCTCAAAGATATAATTGAAAAGAAAAAGTATCTCGTACCATGGCTCCGCTCCAGATTGGATTTTTGAGCCCTAGTGCGTTCGCTTCCTGTTTTCTCATATACATCATCTTTACCTTTCGTCGCTTTAGAAATCTGTACTGGAGGGGAGCAGTTGCTGCATATTTGAATACTTGAAGAAGTAGTTCTTCTCACATTAAGGAACGCGGAGGAGGCATTTTCTCATGATGTCATCAACGATATCAATGGGAATGAAGACCTAAAATTCAATCACCTAGAACAGTTGCTGTGCTCAGACACTTCTAATAGCTCCGGGTCTGGGCGGAGGGAATTTAATAGTCATTTATAAAAATGTGTTGACTTGAATGTAAATATCGTGGTGTAGGTAGCTGAAGAAACCTGATCTTCAAAACTTCCAGGTTAGAAAGCATGCGGGGTCATGTGCGGCGAATGCGGCCGGCATGGCACTTCACCTATCATCCAATCAACTCATTTCAATCCACATACACATCAATTGACCACATTCAATATATTTATAATATGTATGACGCTAAAGAGGCCACCTTCACGGCCATGATGTAACAATCCCTAGCACTGACTAGATATCCTTCTACTCCTAACAACAACCTTTGCTTCTCTCTATTATCAGTTCAGACTTTTGAAATTTCCCCCAACTTGAAGATCTAGAATCATGGAAAAGCTCTATTTGTCCGGATCCAAGGAGTAAAACTTCCCGCACTGCAGCACGCATACATGCTCTCGACATGGGCAAAGCATATATTCGCCGCAAACCAGGGGTGGGTGATAAGCTCCGTTCCATGGCCTACGACACCATCTTTAGGCATCAAAAGCGGGCTTGGTATACTGCATAATAGCTTTCGTATCCTTCCGGATCATCTCCCGGTTCTAGTTGGGGCCTGGTGCATTATCGAGCTTCTTGGAAGATATATGTGCACGAGGATTTTCCCGTTCGTGTTTAGCTTGTTTGCTAGATGCCCGGATACTCTAAGTTTAGTAGGAATCAGGGTCAGCGTGTATTTCCACCATTGTGTTGCCAGAGAAAATTCAGTTAATTTCCTCTTCAGACCTTCAAACAAGCCTCTCTGAGAATCCCACCCAATTCCATGATACAAAACAGGCGGAAGAAAGTTGAAATATATTATGATGTAATACTGCGTCCGAATTGTCTGTGATGTCTGTGATGTATTTGGATAGCCGAGTTTCGATTCCAGAATCTAAATTCAAATCAAGGGAAATCAAAGAAACAGTAAGACCACTCACCCACTGAGCTTCAACCCTAACCCTAAAATAACACAACCATAAAACCAGCTCTTCGATCCAAATCACCATCAACATCCTTCCTCAAATTTCCTCACATTCAATCCTCGATTCCTCACATCGATCTACTTAGCTAGACCTACTCATCACACAAACACTCAACTTCAACCCCCTTTCCCTTTTACAGAAAAAGAAAAGCTATTCTAAGAATTCCACATCCCATAAAATATTACAATATACCTTCCGCATATAGGTATATCCAATTTTCCCCATCCCATCCCATCCCATTCCGACATCTCACAAAAAGTCTTTCACAAGATCTTACATACACCTTAACACCAAAAACTCTACCCCTAAAACATCTCCGGTGTATGTAGTAAGAAAAGTAGCTGATTATATGGAGAAATTCTTCGGATCAAGGTATACGGGTAATCATAGCTATATCAAGCATGGTATCCAGTAATCAGTTTATAGTGCATTCCAACAATGAGAAGTTTAGATTTCTGAATTCCGTGTAAAGACTGTAAAGGATTCGAAGGTCGAAATAATATTAAAGATTGAGTCTATATACAGCAATGAATTAATCCAGGCAACAAATTAACCTTAAAATATTAAGCATCGCATCTGGTGTGTCAATCTGAGCTACTAGATACCCTGATATTAAGTCATATCTTTACGAATAGAATCAATCCAATACACAATCATTAGCCATTCCATACAAATCGTAAGACATCACCTTCAAGGTTCACAAGAGAGGAAACTGATGAATAGATAGCAAAATTGTCTTTTATTTTATTGTCAAAAGCTAGTTGTACCTAGGATCAAAACCGGGGCCATGAAGCCACCACAAATTCAACCGCCAAGTAAATTAAGCAAAGAAGTCTGGTGTCGCAAGAAACAGTTTCATATGAAGCAATATGATAAACTTTTTTGTTCGAAAAGGAAAGATAGAAACAGTCAACTAGATCGACCAAACTGCTTCAAAAATTAAACCATATGAGGCTTGTCGTGAAGTTCACCCAAACATTCCCAAGGTTAAAATCTGTTCAAATCACAGACCAGAAGTATGGTATCTGACAAGACTATAGCTAGCCGGCAGGCCAAAGTGGGCAGCACGAAATTGACTTCAGATTGTATGGATGACTTTTGAAGATGGTCAAGCTCCAGCTGCTCAATCTATGGATTTGTTAGTCACATTGAGTAGGGAGCAAGCAATACCATCTTACAGTGTGGTGAGAAACCTTGTTGACAAGGGCTACGATGAAGATCTTCCTCATCTTCATCAAAGCCGTATTCCTCACGCTCGGCAAGGCTGGTTCCTCGGTCATACTGAGAACGACGGCGGCGCTGTTCATCACGTAGGTGTTGGCCAGCACTTGGAGCGAAAAGTCCTTTTTCGTGTCAGACAACATGTACATAGATATATATTGATTTATAACTTACCGACGTGTTCAGCATTTTCACAGCTTCTCTTGAGCTTAGAAGCATTATCGGATGAAGGAAATTCATCCTCCAAACCGGCAACATTAGCTCCATCAAGATGAGTTAAGAAGAGCTACATCAAGTTGTTAGCTAAATAAATCAATACCTATGATGGATGAAATTACCTTAGGCCGGTAGTGAGGAGGCTCGAGCATGACTGACGAGTTACGGAACTTCTGGATGAGACAGTCTCTACCTTGGATTGTAGCATAGGAAACTTCTGCAACTTTGTCACTCTTAAATCTATGCCACTTCTGGTTAGATCGTGCAAGCACGAACTCGATAATGTCCATCGGATCGACAAAGTTGATAAATGCGTAGCCGACATTGCAATCATTGGAAAAGTCAATACGGAGATACATGAAATCATATCTTCCGAAACTTGACTCATCTACAATGCTCTTCAACATTGCTTGATCGACCTTGTTTGGGATATTCCTCAGCATTACCTGGAATGAGCGTCAGATATGGCAAGACTTGCAAAATGAGTATGGACTTACGGTGGTTCTAACATCGAGGCCAGCATTGATCTTATTGATGTCGACATGATTGTGGTGGCTAGCGGCAGGGTTAGAAGCACCACGTCCTCGTAGTTGTCCCTGAGGTGTCCTAACAATGGGAAGCTGGCGACGGTTACCATTGCGAGCAATTTCACGAGAGTTAGGAGTCTGCGGACTCATATAGCCAAAGTTGTGCCCATAGGTCTGTGGACTCGTTGGATATCGTTGAACACCTTGCTGAGCAAAGTGATTAGTGTAGGTATGTGGTGAGTATGCTTGAGCCGGGAAGGAGTCATAAGGCTCCATTACCTGTGAAGGTCGATTTGTTGTAACAGCTCCTGGAAATCCCGCCTGGAATGCAAGAGGCTGGCTAGTATACAAACCACCCAAGTTATTTACAACATAAGGAACTGTGTTGGAAGGTAACAGGCCATAATGATTGGTGGTCATGTATTGAATGGCTTGGGGAATCGGGCTACCAGAATTAAACAAGGCAGCATTGCTGGGGAATCCAGGTGTTTGAGGGGCTTGAAGTGACATGTGTCCAAGCACATCACTGATGTCAGTTTGAGGGGCCGAGCGACGAGTAGGAGTCACAGCCTGTGCCAAATTGTTACGCATGATGCCACGATTCTTGCTAACGTCGGGCGTGTGCATCTCGCACTTGACAAGAATGTTCTGAGAAAAGGTCAGTAGTTTTCAATCGTGAAAACAGAAGTTACGCACGCCAATCAGCTTGTTGTTGCAACGATCGATGGCACGGGACACCATAGCTGAATCGACAAACTCCGCACAAAGACGAAAGGTTCCTGCTTCTGTCGCAAGAAACTTTTGCCATGCGTAAAGCTCGCCTTCGATGGACAACAAGTCACGAAGGCTTTCCTCAAAAACCTTCTTGTCAATGTTGGTATTTGGGGGATAGGTAGCTGTTAGCATAACTTGACCCTCATGAGCAGAGTACACATTTCTCGATTGAGGACTGATGGCCTTTGGAAGTGTTAGTTCTTGTTTGAATGACGAGCGGAGGGTTTACGAACGCCGCCAAATTCATTTGCTTTGATATATTCCACTGCACAATCAACATGATCGACCTTGATTGCGGTATACACCTTGGCGGCTTCATATATGTTGGACATTCTAATATAGACAACATTATTCTTAGTCGTCTCAATTCTCTTTCCGCCGGTGATGGTGACACCAGCCTTTTCCAATTTCTATGTGACAATTTGTTAGCGAAAGCACATGGTAAACAAACTAATGATAAAGTCAAACCAAACTAACCTCGAAAGAAAATCGGACACAGCTAAGGACGTCTACCTTTTGGTAGATATCGGTGATTTTAAGGCAACGGGTGGCACCAGTATCTGTGCTGAATTTCTATGAACCATTAGTATACTGTATCATGGTGAAGATAATGGAAAATAAAAACTTACGCCATAGCTGGTAACTTCTGTTTCACGAACTGGTGACTGTGATGCTACCACGTTATCTAAGTACTGAATAGTACCTGGAATAAGAGTAGCAGATCCAGAGCCGTTGACGATAAGACTTCCTGCAGCGGGCGTACCAACAGCAGGTCCATAAAGATGCAATGGTTGGAACGTGGAAGCGGTGGCAGAAAGTTGAGCCGAAGCTCTACTTGTAGTACCCGCTGTGACGAATGGATCATGTTGGTTAGCAGCCAATTGAGTAACAGAAGATGTACGAGAGTCTGTAGCCAATGGCTTTGGAACTCTTGCGTCCTCTGGGGAGATGGCGGTGATGGCAGTGTTAGGCGTTCCCTGGATGGACTCGAAAGCGCCATTAGAGACTGGAGAAGGTGGTGATTGACCATAAGAACGATTGAATGACGACATGCTTGAAGACAAAGTTCTTGATTCAATGACAAAAAAGAAGGTGTCAAAATTGAGTGTCTCGAGGACGTGAAAATTGTGCAGATGTTGGAAAAGGGATTTTATGAGTTCAAAATGACAGTAGATCGAAGATTATTGCTCACTTGATGATACTATAATCACCAATTGATAATAATCGTTGAGAGACTTGAGGGCTGAAGAATTGTAGAAGGGACAAATGAACGAAAGAACCAAGATTTGTTTGTACGAGTGTAAAAAAACAAATGTACTGGAGATACAAGAAGTCCAAGTCAATAACTGGTGGTGCATAAAAGCTCCAAGCTGGAAGAATGGGATGAACGCCAGGAGAAATCTCAGTGAATGATATCAAGGTTCAGATAATATAGGAAAGGAGCCCAGAGAAGAAGGAAGACTTCGATCAAAAGTGGATTATCCACAGGTGGATGTGAGAAGGAATTTTTAAACATTCACCTTGGAGATGACTTTTGGAAGGTATGAACAACACGGGAAGGAGCCATGACCCGGTTTTCGGTAAACAAGCCGATAATAACACCGAATCTCAGTATTGATGGGAATAAACGGATTTTGTTTATTTGTTTATTTCCAGTATATACTATCCACTAGGTATCCAATGAGCGCACTCAAGGTTCTCATTTAATTCTCTATCGACTTCTTGTAGTCTATTTTTGCCTCAATTTTCTATCATGACCTCGCTGTCTTTAACCTTAGGAATGAGTATAAGCGAGTCCTGAAAATAATCAGGCTGAATATCCTCACTTTCTCTTAGCCCCTCTTTGACTGGCCGTAACTCCTCCGAGGCAGCTGGGGCCACGATGAACAAGAGACGGCAAGGCATTTCAGGTATCTAATTCAAAATCTCTTCGGATACCTGTATCTCGTGTCCGATATCCTCATGGCCGAAGCAATGAGTTGGATACTATCATCATGGGTGACATGGTAAAGTACGGTCTTCAAATTAGAATCTTCTTGAAATCGGTATGCCGTCACAGACATTTCGTCACAACCCCGGCAGGTAGTGTACTAAATGTCACCAAGACATATACATTGGAAGGTATTGTGGGATCCAAATCAGAGTCTTCTTTTGAGATTCGTATGTAGGTATCCTGTGATCACCTATTGTTGTTACCGAAAGACCGCCTTAGATGCTACGAGGAATAGACATGCGAATTGGGCTCTGAACTACTGGGTAGAATCATCTTGTACTTTGTGTCCTGTGACTCCTATCAAACATCGATGCTCATACCCCAAACTGTAGAAACACCACGAGAAGAAAGGTCCAAGGTATAGATTTGGAACCTTGAAATATGTAATTCCAGGAATCAAACACAGATCGTCGTTTTCGAAGGACGCTATATGTAATTAAATACATTCAAAAGATAAGATGAGAAGCATTCCATCCTACAACCATACCAAGTTTCTTCCCGAGATCACTCAACCACTGACAAGATGAGTTGAGTATACCTAGTAGTATTTATTGGCTAGGTACTCAAGTTGTTGAGCGACTTGATCTGAGGCCTTAGTCGGTTTCTATTCCACTATTCCATATTCCTTCCTCAGTTATACTCTCGTCATTTACTATAGCCTACAGCTGGCTGGCTCCGATCATCTGACTTGAGATTGAGCTGGTAATTGCTTTATTTTACCTGGTACATACACCGTAGATTGAGCCTTTCCAACAGAGTAGAACCCGAATAATTTTATGTGGCAAGTGGAGCCAGAGAAGGAGAATCGAAGAGTACCTTGATGTACCGATCTCTTGAATCATCGACGATTGTGTCCTTTGAAGATTACCTCGTTCATTCCTTCCTCATCAGGAACTTCCGTGGTTGCTGAGCACTAGCGAACCTCAAGGCGCTTTGATCCGACATTGGTCATTCTGGATACATGTAGAAGGAAAAGAAGAATAATCCTAGATGGCATCTCTGATGTGATGAAAATGGTTGAAGCCGGCACATCTTTGGTCCGGGCATGAGGACTCAAAGAAAGGCTGACTCGGATGTTCACTTGTTGTGTACCAAGTAAGTCTCACAACGCAACATCGCAACTTGAGTAAGCCATATTTCTCTCTCGCAGCCGCCTAGACTTCGGACTCCTGCGAGTTCCCTTGGGAAATCGTGACTGAGGTATCTGCATCTTTGGTGTTCTCAAATACTAGTATCTCGGAATTATCATACCATACACTTTATAAGGTTCATTGAAGAGACACAAGAGAGATCCTTCCACCGCAAAGACTCAGACAGTTTCTTGTTAGGAGCAGGTTTGCTATTGAATTCTTTCAAAGAAGTTTTCTAATGTCTGAAATTTGAGTTACTGTAGTTTGTAAGCCCGTGCTTCGATCGGCCTTCAGAGTTAATCCGCATCCGTCACTCAGCCTGGCTCTTGAACATCAAGTTGAAACTAAAAGGGAGGAGAGATTCTTAATTTCAAGCTGTTCTCGATTGGTATTGATGATCTAAACTGGAGCCATTCATGGTCTAGACTCAAAAGTTTGCAGCCTAAGTTGCCCAGCATGGCACCTCGAAAAACTGTTCAATACCATGATTACAGGCAAGCTGTTCAACAGGTACGCCCTTCCACAATACCTATTCTATTTCCGTAACTGACAAGTTCAAACAGATCATATTATCTTCCTCTGATGCCGATTATCTAGATCAACTCATACCTGCCCTCAAAGATGCCACTTTATCCAATAGAACTCCCGCTCTCATACGAAGCCTGTCACAATATGCGGACGACCGCGAGGCTGACATTGAACGAATTGGCTTAACAAAACATGAAGAATTCCTGGCATCTGTCAATCAGCTACAACAAGTCCGCGAAGGAACCTCTCAACTTACATCCGAGATTCTAAAGCTCAACCAGTCTATTCAGGCGAGCACGGAAAAGCTAGCTGCGCAAAAGGAGGCACTGGTGGACACGAGATCAGTTCGTCAGAATATTGCGGAGGCTTCTGAGGCGTTGAAGGAATCTCTGAAAGTACTGCATGCCGTCAATCAGGCGCATGATTTGATACGAAAGAAGAAATACTATGCAGCTCTTAAGGCATTGGACGATTTACAGAACGAGCATTTGATTCCGACAATTCAGAACAAATATGCTACTCAGCACACCCTCGCAGAGATAATTCAAAAGTCGATCCCTTCCTCCCAGAAAGCTATTTCAGAAGCAGTAATGAGTGATTTGAATACTTGGCTTTATCGCATTCGTGAGACGTCCCAATTCCTAGGAGAAGTGGCATTTTACCACACAAACATTCGAAGGAGCAGGCAGAAAGAGCGCATGGAGGCGAATCCATATCTTCGGAACTTCAAGCTAAATTCGGCCATCGAGTTGGTCTATGATGAGAGTGAGGAATTTGATGTACTGAACAATGAGGAACTCCAAGTCGATTTTGATCCCCTATTCGAGTGTTTACATATTCACGAGGCACTTGGTCAGATTGAGAAATTCAAAAGCGAATACGCTGCAACAAGAAGACAACAGAAAGATTTGTTGCTCCCAAGTTCTGTGAATCTGACTGATGAAGAGAGCGAACACTTTTTGAGTGCATTGCTGGAAGGTATTGCCGGCTTCGCTATAATAGAAAAGGCTACTATGCGAAAAGTCCATAATTTGCGTTCTCCAGTTGACGTATGCAACCCGTTGTATATCTAAGTTGTAAACCAGCTAACTCTTTACAGGTTGATGAACTTTGGGATTCCATGTGTAATGCCGCGATTAACGCTGTTTCTAAAGCTTTAGATGAGTTTGATGACCCGGATGTTATCTTGCAAACTAAGAATGTGATCGCGTTGTTCATACAGACAATGGAGGTAAGCTTTCAAAGCACAATGTAGATCCTCGAAAGTACTAAGTTTAAATCTAGGGTTGGGGCTATTCAGTGGCTACTTTGGATGCTTATGTGCTCAAGCTTTTCTATAGATATGCTGATCTACTGAAACGAAAATTTAGTACAGACTTTCAACAGGTTAGTAAGTTCCACAGCTGTGGAAGGTATGGACTGACTCTCACAGATCGTGTCAACGGATGAATACATGCCTATGCCAGTCAATAGTGAAGAAGACTTTGACAAGATCGTTCAGGTTAGTTGGTATGTGCCAGACAAACCAAAAGAAGAATACACGTGAGTCAAGGAAATCATCATCTGTCATGGTTATTTTTAACAATTCCTAGCTTTCCTGGCGTATTACCGTTCTCGCAGATGTATCCCATGTGCTGTATTGATATTAGGAACTTCTTGAATCGATTCTACTTCATAATGGACGATCATTTTCAACAACCAAGTATTATTGACGAAACACTGAAGAAGGTATGTATGACCGATTCTGCTTTGCTGCCCCGTTCAAGCTGATCCATCGTTCTTGTAGTCGATAGATGAACTTCTGTCTGAGGATATTTGTGACCCGCTTGTAGAAAAGCTGAGTACTCAGTACCTGGGCCAGATTGTTCAAATCCTCATAAACCTTGAGTATTTCGAATCAGCAAGTCGAGAACTAGAACAACTTCTCTTGGCCGCACGATCATCCACATCAGCTGGTGGGCCAATTGTTCTTGCAGCTACAGAAAAGTTCTCGAGCAGTAAGAAGGACGCCGAAAAGCGTATATTCGAAGTCGTCAACTCCAAGATAGACGATTTGGTTGAGACAGCAGATTATGATTGGTATGGGTCCTCGGTTCAAGAGCTACTCCGCTGAATAAAAACTAACATGTAACTCGCTCCAGGATGGCACCTTCTTTGGTATCCGAACCAAGCAACTACATGCAAACCCTAACAACCTACCTTTCCAACATCATGAGCTCCACTCTCCTCACCCTACCCCGGGAAATCAAAGAACTTATCTATTTCGATGCTCTTTCCCACGCCGCAAACATGATTCTCGTAAGCTTACTCTTCACCCAGCTAACCAACTATTAACCATCCGCTAGGCCATACCCCTCTCCCCCGAAGTCAAAAAGATCAATCCCCACGGTGTCGCCGCCCTCGCAAAAGACGTAGCCTACCTTTCCGAATTCGTCGACTCCCTCGACAACGCCCTCATCCTCAAGGAGAATCTCGATGAATTACAACAAACGGTCTATCTAATGCAGACAGATAATCCAGATGAGTTTTTCGATATCAGTATTAGGAATAAGAAGTTTGGGAGGGTGGATGCTCTGAATGGGCCTAAGATATTGGAGAAGTATGTCCGCTTTCCATTGATATGAGGTTAAAGACGAGTTGTTTTGGAAAATGTGTGCTAACTTGCATTTGCAAAGACTTACCCATACAATTACGAGTCCAGTAAAACCGGATCGACTTGCTGGGTTCTCCTCGAGGTTTGGCATAAATAAGTCATAGATATTGAACACTTTGGCCACTACCCTTGTGGAAGAACAAGAATATTTTCATGGATCTCAAATGTACGTGTCGCTAATATATCCATTGGCAATCATTTTCAAGGCATCAACCCCTTTTAGAACCACGCAGAATGTTTCAGGGAAAATCATGTGATGTTCACATTAAAATCTCCTGCGCCTATTCTTGCTGCAAAGAAAACAAAGCTAAGCTAGCCAAAAGATGTCATAATTTCTCCGAACTCCGAGCCTATCCATTTGGCAATCAACAGCGACTAACGTATGGACCTGACAACTCGTCTTATCCGACCTCGTAATCGCGCTCGCCTTCGGCATCAGCATCACCTTCACCACCTTCCTGGCGTGCGTAGTGGTGTGTAGGTTCGGTGCCGACTGATGGGTCTTGTCGAGGTTGGTGCGGAACTTGATACATTTGCTAGGGCTTTGTTAGATGATGGTTAGGAAAGTGCGAATTGCGTTAGGTTTGGGATGGGAAACGAACCTGTTGAGGTGGTGGCATGGTTGGATATCCGTACATCTCACCCATCTCACCATACAACGGCTGTTGCGCACCATATTGGGCTGCTTGGTTGGGAGGAACTTGTGGTTGATACATGTTGGGTTGGTGACGGTATGGATCCTGTTCAGCAGCAATACCATGGCCACCAAGGGAATAATCTTGAGGTAAAGATTGTGCATGGGAGGGGTGACCAGGCTGTTGAGGGATATTGGATTGTTGTGGGGGGAGCTGTGCTGAACCAGGAGCAGCGCCGGGAATTTGTGGTGCAGATTGCCCCGAGGCAGAAGGTCTCTTTGCATGAGCTGCGGCTTCTTCACGAGGAACAATATCAATTAGGAAATCAAACATGTCCGATTTGGCCAATGCAGAAGCAATATCAGATCGTTGCAAGGTTCTGCGCTTGTTTTCTTCGGCGTGGATCCATGCTCTCATGGTGAGTTCCGTGATGAAGATATCGCATCCCTTGGCGAATAGGATTGGGGCTTCGGCGGAAATCATCTTCACTTCAGGATCCGCCTTCATGACCTTCTTGATACGTGCGAGGGGAAGCTGATGAAGCTTGTAATCATGAGTATCGCCTTCGAGATGATTGATGATTTGTTGCCAATAGGTTGTGAGAATGTCCTTGTATTTGCCCATGCAGACCCCTGGGTTGACCTAGCCCTTCAAATTAGCTCTCATCCTTTCGGTATCTAGACAATTAATCTTACATTTGCCCATGCTCCTGTGTAGAATTCTGGGACGGGCGCGAAACCTTGCTGAGATAGCTACTCTAGTATTAGTAGAATTCGATGCGCACATATAAGTATTTCTTACCAAAGCACTGGCACCTATTCCACGAAAAGAATTAGTACTTGCTTAATACAACGGGGTATCGAGGAAGATGCATGAGTGAAAACCTTGAACATACCATAATGGCCTCCTTGACTTGTATCATAAACAGGCTGCTGTGCCGGACGTTGTTGTGAAGCGGATGGCTGCTGCTGCTGTCCATGGGACGAGCCGGGTGGTGGAGGATCCATTTTTGTTTTTATGCTTGCTTCTCCCGATCGGTGTTGAGATTGTACGTGGGCAAAGACCTCGAATGGGTCGAGAGATTAAACTTATTAAATACTCCTCCAGTTACTTTCTAGTCCCCAGATTAATTGGTGCGAACTATATGGGGAGGCGGAGAAAGTTATGGGTACGGTCGACTCGATTTCTCGAATCCTGGAGACGAGATGGAAACCCTCGGATGATATGTGACGGTGAATTGACGGCTGGCTGGCTGCAGACAAGCCGGCTTTCGGGATTTGCAGGTACTTAAAGAGACATTAACTGCCTCTTTAATTGAGGAGCTTTGGTTTGCGCGACGACCGCGACGATGGATAGCTTGTTTATAGAATTTGTGCTTTTGATTGGTTGGAAGTTGATAAGGTTGTGGGAGCTTTGAATTAATTGATGGGCGTTTGGGCCACGGACGGATAATTTAAGCGGCGCGCGGGGGTATTGGGTGAGGTTGATTGAGCTGATGACTTTTAGCTTGGCGGTTGTATCTACGAAGGACTGGCTGACTTACACTGTTCACTCGACTCGAATAAATTTTATATCTTGAAATGGAACTCTTATAAATGAAATGATAAAATGATCAATTAGATTATACAGATGCTCTTTGTCCTATATACTGTCGTCTTCTACAATGTACCAGAAATATGTCATCTATGCAGGGTTTCCTGGCAGCCCTTTTCGTCTACTTTGTGCGTTGGCTCACCATGCGAACAGGGCGAACATGTAAGGCATCAGATGCAAGGTAAATTATGAGGCAAAACAAGGCCAAAGCTACATGATGGTTGGATGGCACGGCTAATAAATGCATTCACGTAGGATTCAATTTATCGCATGAACCCTCGACATATTTTGCCGGTGAAATATTTGAGTTCGAGGTCGGTCCAGAATCCTCAGTTCAATGTTGTGCCGGGAGGCCTTTCATTTTCGAGTAGCTGACAGTACAGCAACAGTGCCGAAGGTCACGAGCACGGACATTTCTCACTGGTAATCTCCGTGATAACTAAGCTAAGATTAGTTAGCTTGTAGAAAAATAATTTTTACGCGACTTATGATCCACTGGAATTTTTATTTTTTTTAAAACTCTCCCAATCCTCTTCTTCATTTCAATCAAATCCACCATCACCATCGAAGATGGCCGACAATGATTTTTCTGATGATCAAATTCAGCAATTGTTGCGGGATGCTGAGGAGCGGATGAGAAATGCAAAGCAAGTCATCATAAGTGATGATAGCTCTTCCAAGTTTTCTCTTCCAAAGTAAGACTTTAACCACGTCACAATTCTGGAGCTTGGCTAACACTTCATCTTTATAGCCTTGGTAAATCCGCGACATCTGCAATTGCTCCATATATCAAGTCGACAGGACAGAGTGCACACGTTGACTCTTCTCAGCTCGTACCTGCTAAGGATAGAAAACTGGCCAATGGCGTGCGAACGGTGGAAGACCCTATCGTGACCAAGGCTAAGGCGCTTAAGGTAAGAAATTTCTTTACTTCATCTAGCGCTGTGTCCTTCTGTGAGGAAAATTTACCCATACAACGGACGCAGGATCTGGCCCCGTCTTGGGCGCCACCCTGTAAAAGCTGAAGATTTTACATTCATAGTTACTCTGAGAAGAAGCCGCTATACTAGTTTTTTGTTGCAAATTTTGGGTATCGAACAGAAAGCTAATATCATCAACAGGCAAAGAAATCTACTGCGGGAGCAAAATGGTTCAACATGCCCAAGACTGTGGTCACTCCTGAGCTCAAGCGCGACCTTCAACTTCTTCGTCTCCGAAGTGTATTAGACCCCAAGCGTTTTTACAAAAAGGACACAACAAGAGCAGAAATTCCGGAGTACTCTCAAGTGGGTACAGTGATTGAAGGTCCTACCGAATACTTTTCTTCCCGACTCACCAACAAAGAACGCAAACAAACCTTTGTGGAACAAGTTCTTGCTACCGAAAAAGCAAACCACAAGTTCCGTAACAAGTATAATGATATCCAAGCTGCGAAGGCTAGTGGGAAGAAAGAGCATTACAAGAAGATGAAGGCTTTGAGAAAGAGAAGATGAACGCCATGAGTGCTCGGAAGATGCCATGAAGAATCAACCTTCTAGATTTGATTACCGATTGCACAATACCTCTAACATTACCCCAATGTCGCGCAGACCTCGGCTCACATCAATGATCTCTCCAGTCTTCATCACAAACTGACCAACCCACCTTAATGAATAAGAGGTGTAGTCATGTTAGTTACGGGCTTTGACGTCCGCTCGCAAGCTTTTTTGCTATCATCATATTGGTAAGTTTCAGATCCTTCTGGCATTTCCTACTCCCTCTTGTGTTGTGATGAAAAAAACAGTCAACAGTTATCCCTGTCTTAAAGAATACATGTGGATTTTATAATTAGACTCTGAACACATTACCATATCTCTTCTTGTTTGATTTGGTTTCATGAATTGTAACTAACAATTTCAATAGATATTCTCAGTAGGTACCTTGCCACATGAAGTGGTCACCATGACGCTTTGACATAGGGCTGTACAGCCTTGAGCGTCATGCAATATATTCATGCCTGTGTTCAGTATCACTGATCCTCAGATGAGGAGTGTACTACCATTCTCTCTCTCAGCAC